ATTGGAACAAATGACACAGCTCTCTCTGAGACTATATTAAAGTCTTTATGAAAATTCTTGTGTTCAGTCTTCTCTATGAGAAATTCACATGGTACAATGAGTTAAAGGCCAGTTGTTGTTGGTCAGTAAAAAGGTGACAGATGGGTGACACCAACTTCAGGGAGGCCATAAATGAACATAAGAACATAAGAGACACCAATGTTGGATCAGACCAAAGGCCCATCCAGTCCAACACTCTGTCACACAGTGGCCAAAAATACCAGGTGCCATCAGGAGGTCCACCAGTGGGGCCAGGACACTAGAAGCCCTCCCACTGTTGCCCCCCCAAGCACCAAGAAGACAGAGCATCCCTTGCCCCAGAGCCCCTATCTATACCTTGTGGCTAATAGCCACTGATGGACCTCTGCTCCATATGCTTATCTAAATGGGCGCCTGTCGCCTCAACCAAAGGCCTGGCAGAACAGCTCTGTCTGGCAGGCCCTGCGGAATTGAAGGAGATCCCACAGGGCCCTGGTCTAAATAGGGAGCATGTTCCACCAGGCAGGGGCCAGGACAGAGAAATCCCTGGCCCTGGTTGAGGCAAGACAGGCGTCCCTCAGGCCAGGGACCACCAGGAGATGTTGATCTTTCGAGCGTAACACTCTTCGAGGCATATATGGGAAGAGGCGGTCCCTTAGATATGTTGATCTCAGGCCGTATAGGGCTTTGAAGGTCAAAACCAACACCTTGAAGTGATTCCGGTACTCAACTGGCAACCAATGCAGTTGGCAGAGCACGTGCCTAATGAAGAACCAGCACCTTGAACTGAATTTGGTATGCTATAGGCAGCCAGTGCAGTGCTTTTAGCGCGGGCTGGATATGCTCCCACATAGGGAGGCCAATCAACAGCCTGGACGCCGCATTCTGCACTAACTGCAGCTTCTGGATTTGGAACAAGGGCAGCTCCATGTAGAGAGCATTACAGTAATCCAGTCTCGAGGAACCCAGTTAACAGTTCAAAAGACATGTACTCTAAAGACACTTGCACTGAAACAGGTATATGAAGGTTCCCAGAATAAACATGGGGGACCTGCCAAGGCACTGCCAAGTCTAAAAGAAGGCCTGCATGGTTAACAACGCAAGTCAAGGAAGCTATGGCCACAGGAATAAACAGCTTCAAAAGGGGATTAGACAGATTCGTGAAGGATAAGTCTATCAGTGGTTACTAGCCATGGTGACTGACGGGAACCTCCACATTCAGAGGCACTAAACCTCTGAAGCCTAGAGCCAGGAGGCAACAAGCTGATGCAACTGACCTTAAGAAGTTTGAAAGTCAGAGCATAAGCAGAACAACCTTGAGGAGCCATGTCAAGTGGTATCAGAAGAGACACAAGGCAGTGTTTTGGGTACCACTAGGGATTCTGTAAGAACATGGATTTTTTTCTCCTTGAGAAAGATATTGCATGCTACAGTAAACAAAAATGATCTCCGTCCTCACTCTGGTCAAGATGAATTATTAAAAGACTAAGCCTTGGTTGGGGTACTTGGGATGGAGACCCTTACAGATTGTTCTGAGCCTCTGATAGGTAATTATGGTTTAGAATAATTTAGGAAGAACTTAAATTTTAAATTAGAATAGGCAGGAGGGTGTTCATGGCAGCTAAAACTAGAATGGTGTAGGTTCAAATCCAATATATTATTCATGTAATCATTTCTTTTACTCATTTGCTGCTTCTAATTTACTTTCCAATTGCTTTGCTTGCAATGCATCCAGTTCCTCTCTTCACTATGGCTATAATTCCTTTTTATCTTTTCTGTTAGTTTTTTATCCTCTTTTTATCATTGTTTTTTCAATTAAACTGCCTAACTCATTTTAGTTAACCCAAAGGATGTGTCTGTTCATTACTAGTCCAGAGTCTGCCTACTGGGACAATATAAGAGACCTTTCTTCACCCTGCACTGGCTTTTTACATCGACGACATCTCCAAAATTAACCCTTCCCTCTTCGCTAAAATTACCATCCAGAAGAAGTTCCTTTTTCTGCTAGACTTCTACTCCTTTCTTCTTGGTCAATTCCCCTGCAGTTTCCCCCCACTATATGGAAAGAATTTGCTCCCTCCCAACCCTGGATCATGGTCCCTGCTTGAATCGTCCAAACTTCTAGTCCTTACACGTAATTCTATCTCCTTCTGACTCTTTCTCTGTTTCTCCTCTTTCTGCTCAAGCACATTCAGTATCACTCCCCTCCAATGTTCCCTCTAAGCTGTGGAGTCTTGTGAGCAAAAATTCTACTTTCTGAGTTACTGGCATTAAAGTTGTGAACGAGCGATTTGGCTGTTGCATAAATTAGTTTGCTCTGAAGCTATCCTTCCTGAGCTAAAACAAAAATGTGTGCGCTGGAAGCTAAAAAACTGTGAGCTAGCTCACACTAACTCAGCTTAGAGGGAACACTGCTCCCCTCCCCCACTGGTTTCCCTCTTCTTGGAGCTTTTATGGTGATCCCCTACACCTAGAATAACTTTTCTTTTCTATCCAAACATGATGACCTCCCTCTCCATTTCAGAACCCCCTGCAAAGCCTCCCTGAACTAACAGCATCCCTAGTTTTCCTGCTATCACTTATGACACTACCTCCTCCTCTTACACTTGCTACTCTATCAAGCCCGGTCCCTCTCTCTTCAGCTTAAAGGCCACTTCAATGGAGACTTGCCAGCAAGGGCCAGTTCTTTTCATGATCACTGTTCAATCATATTTTAAATGGATGCCTCAAATATTTTTTATTGAGAATGGTTTATAAATATGTTAAATAAAGGCTGCGATCGTACGCACAATTAGACCTGCCACAGGTGCGAATGCCGGGCAGATTTTAAGGGCGCAATCAGACAACAACATTTGGGAAGTGCCCCGCAGCCATCGGCAATCTGTTCTGCTCCACCGCAGAGGCAGAGTTAAAGGACACCAGGGAAAATCCAGTAGAAAACGGGTTGCGACGGGCCATGGATGGACTTTCCCCTGTTTGATCGCTCCAGCGCTCTCTCATGGCATCGGGATGGTCTGATCAGGCCATCCCAACTCCGTGCCGCTGTTTTCCCCTCCTTCTCAGTATGCGCATAATCGCAAACTCCATAGGGAGGCCTCAGTGTGGAGATGCGATTCATAGATTCCTCCTTTAAGTACATCAGAAACAAATGGCAAAAAAACCCCCACCGACTCACCTGTGGTTGCGTCTGTGCCTGTAGCTTCCAAGGACTGTGTGATTGTGCAACTGCGGGTCAAATTCCTCCAGAGGAAATAGCCTCGCTTCCCCCCTGGTTTTTCTGGCGCACGTGACCACAACCAAAATTACACATTTCTGCAGTTGACTCTGGGACCCACAGTGCACATATTTGGTACTTGGGGATCATCATACCCAGGTGGGATAGTCTAATTTGCGGTGAACTTAGGCCAGCCCTGCTGGGACCATGCAACACCAATACTCCATACAGTCTCTAGTTCCAAATCAGTGGTGAGTAAGCCTTAAGTTGCTGCTGTACTTAAGGGCTAATTCACACATTATGGAGAACACAGGTTGGGTCTGGGGTCCCCGTCTTGTGTCCTGTGTAACAGTTACACATGAGTTGTAGGTTCTTATCAATTCATGAGTGTGTGGTACCTGATTCAGATGACAGCTGTGGCACAGGTAGAGAAGGGACTTCATCCATCTTCTCTGAACCCACGGGCATCAGAATAATGGTTCAGGGGAGATGGACGAAGTAACTTCTCTACATATGGAGGATGGGGGCACCTTCTTCTGGGGCCCATAGAATTGGACCCCCTGGTCCCATCTTTTTGAAACCTGGGTTTTTTTTAGGAGAGGCACCAGCAGCTATGCTGCATATTTGGTGCCTTTACCTCAAAAACAGCCCCCTTAGTGCCCCAGACACCCCCGGATTGATTCTCTATTACAGCCTATGGGGAATGGTCCCCACAGGCGGTGATGGAGCTGAATAAATTCCAGTTTCCTGATTACTTCCCAAATCCCAATATTGTACCAATACTGGGATTCAGGAATATCATGAAATGCCAATATTTTTTGGGTTCAATATACCTGAAAAATACCAAATTTTTATTTGCACACCCCTAGTAGTTAATCTCTCAGAACCCAAGAAATGGTCAGATCTGCCCAGCAGAACTGTCCAGGCTGAAAGGCCATTCTGATGTCACCATCCCTTCCTTATGTTCTGAACAGCCAGATGGGGAAGCCACCAGGAAATGGCTGCTGGAGGGCACGGGTATTTGAAGCCCTGAGAAGGCTTCATGCACTGTGCCTGACTATTCCTACTTAACAAAAATATGCACCTGCAAGCCGTTTAGTGACCAACTCTCAGTATACGTTTTCAGAATGATATTAGGCCAACTAAAGGAAATAGGTTCTGGGTTAAATTTGAGATCTACAGCTTGGTAGTGCTTAAAATGATAGGCTAAGATCTGGAACCCAGGTTCAAATTCCCACTCAGTTGAGAGACTCGCTGGGTGACCTTGGGGCAGTTACTCTTTCTCAAACTAATCTACCTCACAGAGCTGTTGTGAGGGTAAAATGGAGGAAGCTAATGAACCCCAGCCCGAACTCCTTAGAGGAAGGGCAGAATAAACTTCACTAAATAAACAGCAAGTGAGCTTTTTGAGATTCTGTAAGCAGAATACCCTTTGTTTCTTTCAGGTCTGTCCAACCATTTGATCTGTAAGACAGCAACATTTTTTATTGCAGAACATTAATGGAGAAAGTCTACTTTCTCAAAGAAAGTCTGTAAAAGATTAAGACACTGGGACTTTTGATTCATTGGGGGGGGGAAATACCAATGTGTTCTAAAAGCAAATGACTCATTTCCGGGGGTGGGGTGGTGGGACTCAACCCATGCCTGACCTACCCTGTATACTTCTCCTATGAGCACTCTCTGCATTATTTTGTTACTGGAACAGCAACATGCACAGTGCATTATCCACAACCTGCAGGCTACGGTTTGCCTTGAACCAGCAATTTACCTATCTGTATGTAGCCATCAGATGTCCTGCGGTACTTGAATGCTGTCCCTCTTCCCTCCTGCAGGGCTTCCTTATCTGACTGGAGACTCTGTGCAGGGAAACAGACAATCTTTGCAAAAAGCCAGCAACAAAGATTTAGGCAGCCTGCTGTGGGTACAGCTTGAACCACTATGACCATAAAGCACCAGGCAATGTTTATGTTTCCAGAGACAGAACATTACTCTTGCTAGAAGACCTTCCCTATGCCTTTCAAGGACCTATAAAAGCCTGTCGAATATCTAGTGGGGGACAGTCCCTGAAGTGCCTTTTTCTGCCACAGATGCTGTACTTTATATAGGAAATAACTAAACAGACTTTCTTTGAGGTTTTGGAGTAATGTCTCAAGGGTAAGCAAGCATCTGGTTTCAGTCTGTGTGGCAGCTTTCTCATGCGGTCTCACTGCCAGTCCCCAGATCCTGGGTAGATACCGTTATATAAAAAAAGATCCTACTGCAAAGTAATGAGAATCTGGATTATAATCTCCTAAAAACATGCCAGGCCTTCACATTTCTAATGCAAGCAATCCCCATCTATTTTCAGGAGATTACCAGAGCCACAGAGTTACCCTTGTAGAAGGTTTATGCCAGGGTGGTGCCCAAAGTGGTGCCCGGGGGGTGCCATGGCACCTGCCAACACCTTTCTAAGTGCCTGCAAAGTGTTTTTAGAAAGCGGGTGGGGCCAGGTGGGGCTCCTGCCCAGTAGGGCTTCTGATGGCCCATCTGAGATATGAATGGCTGTGCAGGTTAAATGAAACAGCAGCAACAGGCGCCACTACAGTGTTGGATTTATTCTTACTCAGACTCCACTTTCCCAGGGTGTTTTTAAAATTTACTTCTCTTCTCCTTTGCACTTTGGCTTCCTCCGTGTGTGAGGTTGGCTCTGCCTCTGATGTGGCCATTTTGTGGCTGTAATGTAATGTAATGGTAATGGTTCCCTTGCTCGAAAGCCAGTCAAATCCGACTCTAGGGTTGCGGTGCTCATCTCCGTTTCAAAGCCGAAGAGCCAGCGCTGTCCGAAGACATTTCTGTGGTCATGTGGCCGGCATGACTAAACACCAAGGCGCACGGAACGCTGTTACCTTCCCACCGAAGTGGTACCTATTTATCTACTTGCAATTTCTTGCTTTCGAACTGCTAGGTTGGCAGGAGCTGGAACTAGAGATGGGAGCTCACTCCATCATGCGGCACCCGGGTCTCGAACTGCTGAACTACCGACCTTCCACAGCCTGCAGTTCAGCGCCTTAACCACTTGAGCCACCGCAGCTCCTTTGTGGCTGTACCCACCACCTTGTGTCACGATTCAAAAGGTGCCTACAGGTTAAAAAAGGCTGGGGACCCCTGGTTTATGCCAAGGTTATGCTAATGGTTCAAGACTCAACTAGAGCCCTACAGCCTTTATCACTCACTAGGTCAATCAGAAAAAACATGTTATGTACTGTCACCTGTTCTTAAAAAGGAGATTCCCTCCATATCTTGAAACAACATAACTGTCTATCTTCTACCTCCCCCCAAAAAAATCCTTCGCCGTACGTCCAACAACTCACATCAAAGGGCAAGACTTCCACTGTTGTGTTGAACAGTTTGTCTTCAGGGTGCTCAATGTTGCCGCTGCGGAAGAAAAACCTGCAGGACAAGAACCCAAGATGACCATACAGATCCACAGGGGACATAGTCACACAAAAAAGCTCCCCACCAGGAATGAGTTTGCTGAAACGTCCCACCCAATATGTGGCTTCCTTTGCACAGTAAAACCCACTTTTAGAGACAACGCCAAGTGCAAAAACAACCAATTATGGATTGATTGTTTGATTGCTCTTGTAAATTAAGCACTCCAATGCATCTGAATGAATATGTAAGAAGTGCAATTATCCACTCCCATGGTGAGAGCAGTTTGCCGCTCTTCTTTCTGCTAGAGAAATAAGTGGCTGTGTGTGCATCTTAAGCACAAAGAGCAGACTCCAGGAAAGATGAAGACACATAGATGAGATATTCCTGCCTGAAAATTCACCCTTTAAAAAAAAGAGACACACTCTCTATGCTCAGTGCAATTCAGTATACAACAGATGGATTTCCAATGGCCACATGTAACTTTACTTTCAATTTTTAGGGTATATTTGAATATTTACAAAATCCATGTGGAGAAAAGCTACATTCCTAAAACCAAGAACAGAGTCCAGGAACTATAAACATAAAATGGGGCTAGTGAGGGGGTAAAATGATAACAGCATTTGCAGCAACATATGTATCATTGCATTCTGGCCTTTAGTACAGAGGGAATTAATTTAATCTTCTATAACGCAAAGGAAGCCCTCCCTTATTGGCTTGCTGCTTTGAAATTATTGAAGTGCAGCACTGATATGAATGGGAAAATACAAAGTGCAACAATTATTCTTAATCTTTTGTGAGACAGAAGTAGAATTTAATGATGAGTAGGAGTTTGACAGAGGAAACTTTCTAGGATGGGGCAGAAGGACGAAGCTAAAAAAGCCCAGATGGGGCTTGTCAAATAAAGAGAAAAGCTTCTCTAATGGTTTCTAATTACACGAAAGGCAAGAAATTAGACATAGGGAAAAATGCCTTCCCAGATCAGCTTCTTTCTCCAATTCCTCTGAGAGAGTCCAAAGAAAATGTAGCACCTGCCCTTGTTTAACTGTGCTCACGGTGCCATATTATCTGCTAGCATCACGTGTGAAAACAGGATGTTGGCAGCCCTTGTTTCCATAACCGTACTCTCATTCTCAAGCAATCAGCACTTTGCAAAAGCTGAGTCCAAATCAGAAGGAAGGTGGTGAAGTTTATTACAGAAACCAGCATGGAAGGATGTCTTGCATAAACACCAAAGATGCAACGTAAGTGAGCTGCACATCTCAAAACACAAGTCTGTGGGCTGCGGAAGAATGAATCATCCCCTTTCCTGAAGCCCCTGCCGAAGTATGGAATGAGCGGGCACTACCGATTGAAGCTCTTTATTTCTCAAGAGCTGGGCACATGCTCCATCTCATGCAACAGCTGTAGCAAAACTTGTTGGCTGGTCCTTCTTTGGGAGTGGCACTTTTCGCCCCTTGCTTCTTCAATATTGGCTCCCCCGCTGAGGAACAAGCTCTCTGTGTGAGGCTATTACATTCTTGTTGCTGTGGGTGTTTAAATGAGGAGCTAAATATTTCGTTTCAGTTGACGTATCTGTAAAATTATCTGCATCAGTCTTTGTAAGTATTGATGGTCATACTGGTGTGTTTATTGGACTGATGAGCTTTTAACTATATATATTGTTATATGTTGTTAGCTGCCTTGGACTCTTAGGAAAAAAGGTGAGCATAAAAATAAAATCTCATTCTAAGCTATCCTCTCTCATTCCAAGTTGTGGCTCAACTTTTCTATAACATACGAGTCTTTTCTATAACATACGAGGCTTCTCAAGAGCAGTATTTTAGACAACATGCACTAGAAACCATCAAGAGCCCACTATGGACTCTTTAGTACGGTTAGATAAGCGAGGAAATGGGGGGGGGACCATTTGTGTGAATCATTTATCTGTTATACCATGGCAGCTGTTATATTTTTGTCTTAACTTATAGTAAGTTCTTATAGCTAATATCTATGGCGGATAGCTGGAACAGACCCTAAACATTCCTATTTTTTAAATTAATGGTTTCTTAAGAAATGTATATTGCATCTTAGTGCAATGTATCATATATAAAAAGAATGTCCTTTTTCAATGTAAATATTTTTACATAATTGTTTCCTTTTTTTCTCCCCTATATCCATTTCCTCTTTTCTGTATCCCTATTAATAATTTTTAAAACAAAATAAATATTATACAATGAAACCACTATGGGAAAGAAACACATGCAGCCTGACATCTGTAAAAATGTTCAGGATTTAACCATGTACTATATCCAGATAGCCACAACACTTGCAAAACCAAAACCACCAACAACAAAAACCCCATAATACAGACAACAATAAGAAAAAAAGTAAGATGGATTCAAGGTAATTGGGCACCAATAAGATTCAGGTGGAATTCCTTTTGTGAGTTTAAAGAAAGCAGTTATTCTTCAACTTGCAGTCTAGTCGAAAACTGAAAGATAAAGGCATGTTCTTCTTCCCTTGATGCCTTTCAGTCTGACTTCTGGCCTGATTATGGGACAGGGATGGCTTTGGTGATACTGGTGAATGACCTTACCTGCAAATGAACAAGGTGCCCAGTTTATTCTATTAGAGCTATAGGACACATTAGATAGACCGTATCATACCTATGGTTTTGGAATAATAGCATTTCTCTTTCTATATTGGTTGTTCTTCCTTATGCAGCTGATCGCGGGAGTTTCAGCACCCTGGTATCTAACATATGGCATTTCCCAGGGTCCAATGCTTTCCCTTCGTTTTTCATTACTTATAGGAAACCAAAGAATGAGATCATCTGGAATTTTTGCGCTGACTGTCGTTGATACACTGATGACAGCCTGCTTTATATTCTTTTCAAAATCTCCAGATACAGGTGTCCTGCCTCAGTGCCTGGTGGTTTTAGTAAAACGGATAAGGGAAAAGGCACAGCCCTTGAAAGTACATTGAACTGCAGCTGATTAGGGATGGGCACAAAGCACATTTTTGCAGTTTGGTTTGTGCTCCGTGGCTGAACCACAAACTGAACCATGAACTGATACATTGGTTCATCAACCAAACTGGTTTGTATCAGTTCATGAGCTTTTTAAAGTTTATACCCCTGCTTTCTGCTCGCCATGGTTTACACGGGGAGCAGAAAGCAGGGATTTCCAAACATTTGAGCACCACTGCTCTGCTGTTTGGTTTAAATGGCTCTGAGCCTTTTAAACCAAATAGTTGAGCTGTTTTTCATGAAGAGTGGAAAGCAGGGGGTAAACCCGTGCTTTCTGCTCTTCATGAACTGCCACAAACGGCATCAAAATTCATGGAAGTTTGTGAGTTCTTCAGTACACAAACATCGCTTTGCAAACTACGAACCAGCCAAAATTTGTGATGCACTTTAGTTCATCAGCCAGTTGATGCCATTCCTACAGCTGATGCAAAAACATGGTGGCCCACCTCCTAATGGATACGGGATGCATATTCCACTCTGCAACAGTTACACTGGCTGCCCTACCTACTTCAGGGAACACATCAAAGCACTCTTTTCAATCTTTAGATCCTTTCACAATCTACGTATCTGAAGACTGCTTCTCCCTAGCCCTGCTTATCACCTCATATCTGCCCTGGCTGTAGTTCCTTCCTTCTCAGAATTTTGTCTTCCACAAGGTAGATGGACTTTGTTGGATCCACCTTCTGGAACAGCCTTCCACAAGAGATATGTGGATTTCCTTCTCTAGTCAGGTTTAGGAAATTATGTATGGCAGCCTTACTTTAGAAGGCCTCTGGCAATTAAAAACTTTGTGCTGCTTTGAATCACACTGTTGATATATTTGAAGGTTTGTCTGGATAGTTTATTATACTGTTTTACAGCTGACTTATTTAATTGTTTTGTTCTTTTGTTATTTTTATCGTTAGCTGCTTTGTGTGAAGAAGAGGTGCAGTAAAAAAGCAGGAGGACAACGGCAGAATGAAATTCAACCTGCATGCAGTTTATCTCAGATGAACTCTGTTCTCGCACAGGGGAGTGAAGGAGAAGAAAATAATGAGTGGCTTCCGAAAGTCAAGCAGATCCTTCCCATTCTGCACTCCCACAACCCAACTCACCGTTCAATGCGTAGTGGCTTAAAGAAGCGGAAACGTATGAAGTCACCCGTGGTGGGGGTAAATGCCCAAAAGAAATCTTCTCTCATATATGCTTTCTCCAAGGTGAAGTGCTGGTAGGTTTTCAGGCTGGTGCTCACCTCTGCAGGAGGGTTGACGTGTTCTTTTCTAAGAGCTTGTTTTCCAAAATCTTTGTCCTGAACACACACACAAAACATAAAAGCAAAGCAATTTTATTTAAAACATGCAACCCGCTTTCATGGAAATGTTCCAATTTCTTAGCCCTCCGTTCACCATTTACTCTCTTCTCTCCCCCGTATCTATTGCCAATATCACCACCACCCACCCTTATTGATTATACATGAAGTTTTATCTTTGACTCTTCCTGTCTTTTGCTCCCAACATGCACTCTGCTGCCAAATCATGTTGCTTCTCCTTGTACAACAGACACTACCTGCTTTCCTTCGTACTATCAGGATGATTAAAGACCATCTGAAAGTGCCTCCTTGACAGTCCCATCTGTGTGCCAAATTCATACAGCAAGGATGCTTAAAGAGGAATTCTTGGTAGCTAGCACAAAGTGGAGAACTTACTTTCGCCTATAACTCCATCAAAGGCAGATCCAACGATCAGGGTTAAGCAAGCATGAGTACTTTAAAGTTAACTGGGCACTGTGGAGGAGGGATATGTTTTATTTTTTCACCTGTTGTGGCCCCGCTTGGAATCCTTGGAAAGGGGGCAGGGGAGAGAAATCAATCTAAAATAAATATTCCTTGAGATACCGGGTCTGTTCTGCTCAATTTTAGTTTGCTTAAAGAAGAGAAAGCATTTTTTCCCCTAAGGTAATTGTTCACCTCCCAGAAACAGCCCTCAAGAATCTTAACACAAGCCCTCCACGGAACAGTGTTAGTAGAGCTTCCCTCAGCAGTACAAGGTTTAAACGGATTGCAGTAACTATCAGGTCAAGGATTCACATGGAGCCTCTGCCCCTCCACTCAGTATCATTTTCTGAAGCACACTGTGGCTCTGAGGCTTTAAAAGCTGCTGCAACACATAGCTAGCAAATGCTTCCTAGCCACTATTAATCAGAGTCGATACCTGCCATGCTCCAGTTCCCCTGCCTCCTGACCCAGTGCCTCCCCTTTCCTTCCAAACCATTTAAAATTTCTTCCAGACGCTGTCAGTGAAGCATCCACTCCCTCTGTGCAAAGCAGTGCAGCTGACCTCCTTTCTCCAGAGAATACACCTGCATCAGAAGCACCTGCTCTCTCAGCCTCAACTGTTGCACAGATTCGAAAACCCATTACATTTTACATAGAGATCTATTTGACATCCCAAGATACAGCTTGTGGGGACTTACACATACCATCTGCCTACAGGTTCACTAATCAAGGACAAACTATATCTGGCACACAATGAGGTATCCACTGAATCCCGAGCTTAAAGAAAAAGACAGCTTCTAGCCCTTATGGGAGGGGAGAGGTGACTGAAAAGGTTGGCTTGGCCTGAAGAGAATCCAGAAAACAAAATATAGGACTTGAGACAACCAGCCAACAAGAGAGTGAGCTATAGTACCTTTCCCCTCTTGCTGGTGCCTGACAAAACTAATATTTTATTTATTACAGATTCTGTCTTCCTCCAAACAGGTTAGGGGGTTTCAGGTGATCTCCCATCCAGTTACTGATCAGCGCAAGGCCTGCTTAGCTTTACGTCTGGCACCTTCAGACCATGACTGCCCATCCCTGCATCAAGCCCAATTTTTGTATCATTTTTGTTGTTGTGAAATCCTATCCTTAGGAGCAAGAACAAATTAAACTAAGTAAATTTACACAGATGGAAGTAGTTTACCCTACACATAAATTTAAGCACATAGCAAAAAAGTTCCTCTCAAACATCAAGCCTAAGGAGGAATTCTGTGCAATTTGTAAAGTTGTATAATGTAAGGTGAACACAGGTGTGACCGGTGTACCTAATAAATGTATCTGTTTACTAGTCTCCGGATCTCACTAAAATTAGTCTGTCTGATTTTGATTTACTTTAAGAGATTACTATATTTACCCAGTTTTCCCACACCCAGTGGGCTTCTAAATCCTGAGTTTCTCTTGTTCCATTAATGGCTGCTTCTTTGCCACTGGTTACCCACCCCCCATCTTTGCAACTTCCTTTTGGAAGCCTTTTTTGGTATTGTATTTTCTTGTGGGGGAGTGCCAGCAAAGTTGCTTTTATGCATCACTTACCATTTCAAAGTTCTAACCTCACATAAAAATGTGCCATGTCTCACATTTTGGAGACGCTCGGAAAGCAGCAAGATACCTCTTTGCCTTCTGAAAGTGTGTCTTGGGAATGAGCCTCCCCCCACCTCAAGCTCAGTTGGAGAGGAATGATGAGGCCTGCCCCTGCAATCATGCTGGGCCTTGAAAGTGCTTGAAGCATCTCCAGAGCTCAGTGTGTTGCCAAGGACAGGACCCTACTTCTCCTCTTGGGGTAGGCAGGGTCAGTGGAGAACACACATTTTGGGGCTGACTATGAAGACCAGGCAACATTTGTGGATCCCTGAATTCTAGTTGTGTTTTTCCCCACACTCCCTCAAAGGAACCAAATATGAACTTTTATGATGGCTAATCAATCACTGGACAAAAGGTAAAGAGCATAAGTTTGCCCCCATTCTGTCAAATATCTTGTTAAAACAGTCACAACAACTGTTTAACTAAATGTAGCTATCTGTAGCACTTAGTCACAATAATTCTCACTGTATCTACACTGGTTTTCTTAACTTCTAAAACTGATTTTTCTCATTGAAGTGAAAATGAAAACAAATTCAGACAGAGCCTACAAGCACTGCAGCAGGGTCAGTGGAGAACACACATTTTGGCTGACTACGAAGACCAGGCAAAATTTGTGGATCCCTGAATTCTAGTTGCGTTTTTCCCCACGCTCCCTCAAAGTAACCGCAGGGTCAGTGGAGAACACACATTTTGGGGCTGACTATGAAGACCAGGCAACATTTGTGGATCCCTGAATTCTAGTTGTGTTTTTCCCCACACTCCCTCAAAGGAACCAAATATGAACTTTTATGATGGCTAATCAATCACTGGACAAAAGGTAAAGAGCATAACTTTGCCCCCATTCTGTCAAATATCTTGTTAAAACAGTCACAACAACTGTTTAACTAAATGTAGCTATCTGTAGCACTTAGTCACAATAATTCTCACTGTATCTACACTGGTTTTCTTAACTTCTAAAACTGATTTTTCTCATTGAAGTGAAAATGAAAACAAATTCAGACAGAGCCTACAAGCACTGCAAGTATCCATCATTTACACAAATGTTATGATTGGTTTCTTCATACAATGCTTAAGATACCATGTTCATGGCTAAAATGCAAGCAAAGGGGTTTTAAAATATGATGTGTGCCACAAAACCCAGTTGCTGCAGTGTGTGGTGGAAGACTTTTTTTTTTGCTTCCTTTGTTTATTAGAAAAACATCTTACACATTTGTTACAAACTGAGGAGAAAATAAAAAAGTGAGACTCATTTTAGTAACCACCTTAGGTAAACCTCAGAGACAAAAATTCAGCTTGACTGTTGGCCATGCTCCATATCATCAGTGAATTTTGTTGTTCCCTAGCTGCAAAATGCAACTTGTATATAAGAATGCTGATGCAAACTGCCATTCTTAAAAAAGATTTCTCTGCCATTGATTCAATGGCTGCTTGGGCTAATCACATCTCTCATCCCTTGGCTGTAAAATGGGAGTATTAATTGGTTGCCTTCTACAGGACCAGGTTTTGTGCAGTTCCTTCAGTGTATGTTAGAGTCTGAGAAGCGGGGAACCCACAAAGACTAGCAGGGGTTGCCTCATTTCCCCCTGTATCATCCCCAACCCCGCACTGTTTCCTCTTCCTCTTATTGTGGCAGCCTCCATATAATTTCACCTATTCCCTGCTTAATTCTTTCTTTCCCACTCACCAATTTTTATTTGACCTGCCCCCTTACTCTTAACTTTATACTGTCTTTCTCTCTTATGGGGACCCAAAGCAGCTTATATCATTCTGCTCTCTTCTATTTTATCTCCACAACAACCCTGTGAAGTAAGATTTGGCTGAATTATGGGCCCAAGGTCACCCACCAAGCTTCTATGGCAAGTGGGAACTTAAACCTGGGTCTCTCAGATCCTAGTCTGACACTCTAACCACCATACCACTCTGGCTTTCAGGTTTCTCTCCTTTCTCTTCCCTTGGCAACCTTTCTGTGGTAAAAGTTTGGCCAACTTGCAAAAGTTGTGTGGTAGCAAGTCATTCAAGTGAGTTGTATGGCAGCCACTGCCAGGCTTGACCAAGTTGCATGAATTGTACAGAGGCTGCTATAAAGCCCACTGAGTTGTATGGAATCAAGGTGTAGCCACTGTCACACCTCTTGAGTTGTGCAAATTGCATGGTAGGAAACTGCCTGGTGGCTGCTGCTGGGCCTGGCCCTCCAGGGCAGACAGAAAGAGAAGCAGGGGTGGAATGGTCGGGCAAAACAACCTTGGAAAGAGACCTGCCCTTCCCCCTGCTTTTTATTGAAATAAACCAAGCTTTGCAGGCTTGGAATATTGTACTGGTTGCTTAGATCTCTGAGTAAATCACACAACCCTCAATTTTGCCCAACTCTTGTCTTACTACTATTTATCAAAGGCAGCCCTTCCATTCATTTTTTTACCCCAGCAAAGATTAAATTTGCGTATGGACAAAACAAAATTCATGTCAACTGTAAACAAACCTATTAAATAATATAATATTTCTACAAAATTAAATTTTAAATCAGTGCTCTCCATCTTGATAGAAACTTTCTTTCATACTTTGTGCCCGCAAGATCTGTGCTCCTCAGAGCAAGCTGCGACTATCTGGACAACTCAGTAGCCTCAAAGGGCCCCAATGTGAATGGATATTTGCACAAAAGAGCAGCTAGCAAGAGAGAAATACCACATAGTAAAAAAAATGCTCCAGTATCATGTCATACTAGGTTTATTCTGCACAGCCCACTTTTTATCTGTTCAATATATTGGATTATTTCTTTCAAAGGAGCAGAGGTCGATTCGGGGGGGAATGCGGGGGATCGACGCTCCCCCGGGTGAGGTGCGAGGGCGGGGCAAACAACGAAGCCCCGCCTCCTGCTTCCAGCCACCCTGCTTCCGGCCCTCATTCAGCCAGGAGGAGGCAGGAGAAGAGGGAGGGTAAGTTGCTTCCTCCCCACCTCTCCCCACCCCTGCCTGCCTGGGGCCAGGGAGGGCCTTGGCGGGGCTTCCTCACACTCCCGCCGGCCTTGCAGGTCCACCGCCGGGCCCCTGATGGTGCTTGGCAGTGGAGCCGCAAGGCCGCCGGCGGCCGGGACCGTTGTGTTAGTCTGTTGCTGCAAAATAGTCCAAGAGTTCAAATAGCACCTTTAAAACTAACCTTTAAGACTAAGACTAACTGAGTGGTGGGTGTGGCCTTATGACACACTTCCGGTGATGTCAGGGGGTGTGGCCTTATGACACACTTCCAGTGATGTCAGGGTGTGTGGCATATGCTAATGAGTTATGCTAATGAGTTCCCCTAGCTCTTTTTCTACGAAATGACCCCTGCAAAGGAGCTTTAGTTGAAAGTTAACAGGATAAGCTGTAAAGACACCCAAGTAACTAGAAACAATGGCATAATACAAACAAAGCCAAGATTTATTGGTCTCTGCTTTTATCCCTTCTTTATGAGGACTAGGAGCATTTTTTTACCATTACTCTTAGTTGATAATCCACTAATTCCCTGCTCCCAATCAGGGCTCCACAGGACAGAGCAAAGCATGACTTGTTCATGTCCCTGTTAACTTCACCAGAACACAATCTGGCACTCCTTCCAACAGAAAAAGGCTGATCAACCCCAGAGACCCCTACATCACCCCAGAGCCCATTATGACAATCTCCTGTTTCCTGATGGAAGAGGTGCTGATGGAATAAGGAAGAAAGAACATCTGGATGAAGGAGTTAGTCTTTGTTCCCTTCCGCAGGCACCAAACCAATCTGATCCTGAGTCACATAAACTGAGTTTCATTTGCACAAAATTAAGAAAGGGTTCTTCTTCACACACCTAACCAAAAACTTCCTTACGTTCATGTAGCAGAAAATGGGAAAAACACACCCTCATACACATGCAGGGAGAGAGAAAGTTTAATATGGTGATATTTATCATCTATAAATTCATGGGTGTCAAAGCCAAAGCCACTGCTTTCCTGCTTGGGAAAGGCAAATAGGTATCTTTTCACGGATTATACAGAGAGGAACTGCATCTCTCTGCTCCAAGGGCCCTTTTTAACCGTCTCTAATTTATGTGTGGACACATGTACGCGCGCACACACACAGAGCTCACCATAATGACAAGAAGCATTTATCTATAAAAGTCAGTGCTTCAAATTCTGCCATGTCTGCAGTCAACAATCATTATCCAGGGCCAGATTTATGCAGATGATTGGTTCGTAATGGCTTGCATTGAGCTTTATGGGATAAAGTATTCATCCACCTGAGGTGCTGTCTTCCGCAAAAGGATGGGAGACACTGGGAGTGATCCTAAGCAGGTCTATGCAGAAGTAAGTCCCATTTTATTTGAAGGGGTTTACTCCCAGGAATGTGTTCATAGGAGTGCAATCATTGTGAGGGAGAGGAAAGGACTGGAATTCTTCACCCTGCCCCCCCCCATCCCCACAGGGGAACTTTTCAGAAATTCTGACTAATAAACCTATCAAATACATAATAAAATTTTTCATTCTGTCCACCACTTTATACACATTTTGAGTTTCCAAGGCTATGACATCACAGACTCACTTTTAGCTTCTGTATTTTGCCGGCCAGGGAGGAGTGGGTTCCCACATGTTGGAAGAGCGAGGGTTTGAAGCGGATCCTCAGATTCGCTTTCTGTCTATCACAATGTTTCTGAAACAGTAAAAAGCAGAAAATGAACTCAGGGTTTCTTTTTCCAGTTTAGGAGGGGGAAGCCTGAAGTGGGGAAAAGAAGATGGCTAACCATTTTCAGTGGGGCTCATCGGCAACACCAATTTCTCAACTGCAGAGTTATTAACATTGTTGGTGTTATGAACGACAGCTGCTGGAAGCAAAGCGCCAGAGCAATTATTAGCAATAGTTATTAGTGACGAAATTTCCATAAATCAATGGGCTCTCGTATCAGTTACCACCACAGTCAACACTTGATGTGTTGTGCCAGCATTGGTATTACATTTCTGTAACTTGAGACTAATCATCCAACACCTGAAGAAGCAAAAATGGACTTTTCTACAAGTATTTACATCACCAACAAGGATTGCAGTGTAATGTTTTGTATGAGCTACACTGGGGAAATGTCCACTACTTGAGAATGAACAGCAGGCTCCTGTACTCTATACAACCTTAGTTCACGTATCTCAAATCTTTCCATTTGTGAGACAGTTAACCAAAGTTGGAAACACAAATTTTGTAGCAAACAAAAAAAAAGGGTTATTTGAACAGAAGCAGTAATAATAGGACTACAGATATGAAGTTAATTTTTAACACTGAACTGTTGAATAGTATATTATTATTATATACATCATAACAAATTAACTGTAGACAAAATTAATTACATTTAAACAATAATATCTGTGAAAATATTGTATTTCTCTTCAGTGTATGCAGGAATTATTTTTTTTGTAAGGCTGCAGACTGAAATCTGCATACTATAGATTTTGAGTGAGTAAAACCCTGTCTTAAAAAGCACTTCAATCAATAAAAAATTAATAATAATTTTAAATAAATAAAAATTAATAATAATAAAACACAGTGGTTCCTGGGCTGAGGGGTAGGGCTGTCCGGCGTTAGTGTCAGCAACTGTTATGCTCCTGGTTCTGTACATGAAACCTCAAGAGGAATGTATTGCCGACCTTCAGCAATCTGTGGATCAGGATGTGGGAAGGAGGAAGGACAGAGGGAGTGTGATTTTCTAGAGGGTGTAGGCAGTCAGGAATGCATCATTAGTATTAGATTAATAAAACAGCTGTCAAAATAAATTGAGATGTTCCTCCCTACTTTTTCATTAACATTCAAAACACTATTTTATTGACTTTTTACAACACTGTTCTCATTTAGCCCAGCTGCTTCATCTTCTCCCAACCAAAAGGGAAAGACGGATTTCTGTGTTAATACTTTGTTTGTGCTATTAAGAAAATGTTAGCTAATTTGCTGCACTTTTTGAACATTTCTGCCCCACAGCTGTGATCTGGAGAATTAGAAAGGCATGTTCTCTGTAACCTAAATATGAATATGTTCAGGTGCATGCTGCAAGCTGGACAGCTAAAAAAAGCGCACAAATGCATTAAAAACACATTACTAACAATTCAGACCAAAGATGTCACTGAAAGGAAGGGGTACACAGATTTTCATGCAATCTCCTTGAGGCATCCTTACAGAAAGAGAGGTCCAATCTGCAGCCAGTTTGGTGTAGTGATTAAGTGTGTGGATTCTAATCTGGGAGAACCGGGTTTGATTCCCCACTCCTCCACTTGCACCTGCTGATGTGGCCTTGGGTCAGTCACAAGCTCTGGCACAGCTGTCCTTGAAAAAGAGCAGTTTGTGTCAGAGTTCTCTCAGCCCCACCTACCTCACAGGGTGTCTGTTGCGGGGAGGGGAAGGGAAAGGAGTTTGTAAGCCGTTCTGAGACTCCAAGTGCAAGGCAGGGTATAAATCCAATCTCCTCCTCCTCCTCCTCCTCCTCCTCCACTTTTTCATACTGTCTGCACTTCGGTTGCTTTAACCATGCAAAAGCACTGGAAATATTACTGATCTAGAAAGGTCCCTCATTGCTCTTCTTCCTATTCCATGTCCTTCGTTATTGAAGATACTTTTCACTTCTAAAAGTAATTTTTTTTTAATGAAGCAGAGGACAGTGTGGCCCCTGAACCTCATGCCAATTCATCTTGTTAATGCAACTTCCTAAATTGCCTAGCAAAATCTAAACCTTTCCACTTGACAGTATACGTTACTTCATGGTCCTATCTTAAGCTAGTCTCTTTCCCCACTTCCCTTGTATGATACCAAATGCAAATATATTAGGGTGAGTAAAAGCAGAACATCAGCACTGATGAAGAGAAAAGCTAAACATTTAAGAGCTTGTGCAAACTCAGTAGCAGAGTATCCAAGGGCAAGTGAAATGTGCCAAGAAGACCATCCACTAAGTGGGTCACTCTTTCAAAAGCCTCTTAAAAACCTCCCCCTTTGCTCTACAATTCTCTAGTACTATAGTCTTCCTGTCCTAACTTTGCTATCCCCTCCTTCTCAGGGAATGGTACATTGGATGCATGTTTTTAGTGCCAAGGTACGTTAAATGAATCTTTCACTGAGCAGATCTTCTAAGGTAGAAAGAGTTTCCTTAAGTAACTAAGAACAGAAAAACAACAACAGAATTCAAGTCTCCCTTGTAAACAGAGAAATTAAGTGTTTTATGAACACTTCCCTGCTGTCCTACTCCCAACAGAGGCACCTATTTAACAGGTGCAGAATGGCCCTTCACAACAGCCCTGCCTCGGGGCAAAAGGCTCCAGGAGCTGTGCATGTCCTGCAGCATTTAGGATTGCCCACCTACTCCCTGCAGCCCAGTTCTACATTAATCCCCCTAATCCAGCTCTCATCACTTTAGAAAATTAAAAACCTGGATCCACTCACAACATGCTGCTAGCAAACAGCTCACCTCAGCTTCCCACATGAAACTAAGTGGGACACTGATGTTGAATGCACTCCCACTTTTCCTCTGGGTGTTTTTTAAAAACTATGCAGTTATGAAATCAACAAAAAAGGAGGTGAAATCCAAAGTTAGTTTCCAGGCAAGGATAACAGCCAATATCCAGAGCAGGCAAAGCTCAGGCTGAGTGAACTTTCAATCAAGGAGACCAATCCTACAAGATCCCAATTATATTCTACAGAGCAGAATTTACAAGAGCAGAATTATTCATGCAAACAGTGGGAAAGAGAGCCAAAAATCCATGCTGGAACTGGGTTATGGTTTTAAAAGGCAATGCCTTCGATCATTTCACGATCCCCTAGACAATGTTACTGAGAGGGTGGATGGACAGCAGGGCAGGACACACGGGTGAGCCTGGATGCACAGTGATGCTGAAACTCTACTATACTTTCAAGGCCTTATATATAAGAAAAAGCACCAGCAGGACCTTATAATCTTGGCACAGAATAATGCACAAGGCAAATCCTGACCTTGCCTAGACCAGCAGGAGAGTGTATGCCTTTTCTTCTGTAGAACAGACCAACTGCCACACCTCAGGCACAGATGACCCACAGTTCCAGAAGAACTGAAAAGACAGCATTCGGGACAGGGAGAGAATACTGTGTCTACGTGAAAGCACATTTTATTGCTCAGTCCATGCTGATCCCTTGATCTTCTGCACCGGAAACAGAGGTGGCTGCAGCATAGATCACACTGAGGGTGCAATTAGACAAGATCTCTAGCTTGGATCCACTTGTAATTTCCATGGACAGAAGGGATTTCTATCTCTAAAGCATGACTGCTTTGTCTTCCCCTCCTGCTGCCGCCCAAAACATCCCTGATATGACTCTGAATTGGACACGAGACCCTCCAAGAACATCATGAGGAGGACATGGGGAACTTGCAAAAAAATAATAACTTTAGGATTGAATACCACATTTTTCAAAGTTACTAGCTGCTGCGGGGGCAATTTAGATCAGGGAAGGAGGATTGAAACCCTTTCACCTTTCTGTAATATAGATCCCTCCTGCCTGATCTGCAGCTTCTTCTGTGGCCTATCTTCCCCTGTGGGACAAACTGCACCTCTGCAGGGGTAATTTAAATTGGGAAAACTGCACAGGAGAAATCCAAGGGCTACTATTACCCTTTTTCAGCATCCCATTGTCACCTGTAGGTTGGCTCTTAGTGTGGACTGATTTGCACACTGCACTCCCAACAAAGGAAATGTGTGTCTCCAAGCCACACTCTGCTTGCCTCCGTACTTCCAGTGGTCAATACAGGGGGGTTGCTGGGGCAAAGCACCCCATGTCATCTGCTGCCATCAACCATCCCCCAACACAGTGTTTAGACCTCTTCTGCTGTACCACAAAACCCCAAAAATCTTGTTGGTCTCTGTGGAATCTAGCTAGTCTACTGCAGTTCAACATGGCTACCCACCAGAAACCATAAAACTGCTTCTGGCCAAAATGCCTTGCTTGCTGTGGCAACTGCTGCCCTCTCCCAAGAACATATGCCCAGGCAGAACAAGGATGGTATGTTTGATAAAAGGTGGTGCTGCCGCCAGTGGTCACTGGGCACCACTGGGCAGCCTAGAGCAGCATCTGTCCCTGGGCAGTAAATACTATTTATTACAAATAAACAAACAAACAAAAAAGTTAAAACAAAGACATAAAAGATTCGGCTGGACTGCTGCAACCTTCTACGTCTCCTTGGAATTGCTGTTACATCTTCTTATGCTTTTGGGGGGAGGGAGACATTCTGAGTGCCTCAGTGCAATGCAAAACAACCGTCATCTCAACAGTGTTAGGACTTCTGTTGTTATGGGTAGCATACCCACATGCAACCCAGAGTCCAGAGACCACTAATGGCTTTCAGTCATCACAGAATTACATTCCTTCCAACCAAGCAACATCTAGGAAGGGATGCTGGCATTCACTGAAATGAAATCCCTGAAAACAACTCAAAGTGGTATAGGTCCATTAGTGGCTATTAACCATGGTGACATGAATGTACTTGAATGTTCAGAGGCAGTGGCCCTCTGAATACCAGCACTAGGGGCCATAAACAGGAAGAGGCTCTGAGCTCCATGACTTCTTTGGAAGCATTCCGAGGCATCTGCTGGGCCATTATGAGACCCAAGAGGTAAGACTGGGTGGACCATTGGTCTGATCCAACATGGCTGCTCTTATACTCACTCTTTATTAATAAAAACTTAGTTTAAGTACTGTGGATTTACCCAGTACAAAATTTTGGCCATTGAGCCCTGACCTGGATAGCCTAGGCAAGTCCGATCTCATCAGATCTTGGAAGCTAAGCAGGGTCAACTCTGGCAAGTACTTGTATGAGAGACCTCCTTGGAATACCAGCAGTCAGGAGGCGGGGGCAGGCTTTATTCAGCCACCTCTCTGAATATCCTCCAGGCCCCCAGTAGGGGTTCAGTCACCAGAGGTCGCCATAACTCCCAAGTACACACACACTCACTCACACACATGCATGTATAAAAAAACCAGCTACTGCAAATGCCCTTGTGAAACCTAGTGTATTTTCGGTAGCTGTTATGAAAAAGATGCATCTTCATTACAGTAGAATGAGCCTATTTCTTGTAATAAGGAATTGACTTACTGCATCTTTCTCTGGGTTGCAGACTTTCACCCAAAGAATGTGATCAAGCAGCCAATCAATTGGCTTGTCTTTGTAGAACATGAGTATAAATTCCACAATCAGACTGAGATCCAGCGACTTAAACATCTTCCCTGAAACAACATTTAAATGGAGAAAAGGTAAGCAGAATCATACAATTCACAAATGCACTTAAGGAATTATATACTGGATAAACAGCAAACAGCTTCCTTACCCTCTTCTAATGCATCGAACAGCACACTGCTAGAACACCCATACACTATTGCAGTCCTTACACCTGCCCCTGAACTAGGAAGACCAAAAGCTACATTATACTTGAGATAGCATGCTGGCAAAATAAACTTTGGGAATACTTTGTACTCAGTCGAATTTCTAAGAACACCTTCGAGGAAAACACAGCAAGTAAACAAAAACTATTCCAAGTGACTTGGTACCCTATATTAGAATATCTGGCAAATAGTGGCATTGTACCAAAAAATCCCTATTATGAAAAATTGTTATATTTTTAAATCATCACATGATATATTTCTGTATGTTTTTTTAACTCCAACCTTTTAGTTACGTAAAAGAAACGATTTCTTGTTTAAAAATGTTCTCCTATAGTTATGTAATGTTATATCTTGTTGATATATGGTTAACAATTGTAGTGTTGTCTGTTTGTTTATATATGAAAATAAAAATAATAAATTGGAAAAAAAAATACTTGAGATAGCAGCCTTGGAGCCAGAAGAACATTTTGAGGCAGGAGCACATGCTATATAGTTAAGTCGCCACTTTCCAGAGGAAAGAGCTTTACAGCTAAGGAGCACATATGCTCAGGCACAAAATAATGTGGTGCTGATTCAACTTGCACAACTTTTGAAACAAGCAAGGGAAATGGTGAGCAAATGACCCTTGATATATGTTTTAGTAGGGCATGGGAGTTCAGAAACAGTGGCCAGAATCAAAATGGAATACAGGCAGTGCAGCAGCCATACTTGACAGGCTAATTTCAAAGCTCCCCCCACCCCAAAGGAATGCACAATGCTGCTCATGCTGCTACATGGATGTTTCCTGGTTCAGATGCACTGGTGCTATCTAACTTGTTGCTGGCCAACTGAGTGGCAGAAAGGGTTATTTTTTTTTATTCAGCTATAATCACCGAAGCATTACAGGACTTAAGCAACTATGTTTCCCATCTCCACAGACAAGTATGTACAAGAACAACATGCTGCTCTCAAAACTGTAATAAGAGTCTCTAATGATGCTTGACCTGTTTAACAAGCTACATCAATAAACCATTTATGTCACATAAAAGGCAAAGATGGCTTGCATTGCTGTATGCTCTATGGGTTGGATCCTAACTTGCATTAACAGAAACTGAACTTTCCTCATTTCTCCTTCCTCCAGCTGTCTCCTGCATACTTCCAAAAAGCCTTGTTGAGAGTTGGGGACTCTCCCAACAACATAGCATGTGGTACCAAAGGAAGGGTAGCAATGAGAAGGGGGAAATCAAGAAAAATCCTCCCTTCTTCTTCTGTGAGCAGAGCCAAGTACAGCCAGCCTTGGAGCCAAGCATTCTCTGCTCACATAATGGGGGGGGGGCTGTGTCACCCAATTTTCTTTTCTTTCTGCAGTTCCCTTAAAACACGCTATACTTTTCAGGAGGTTTATCCCAATGCACCTCAGAGGCTGTGTGGGGCACGTGACGCAAGTGGCTACTAAGGAAAGATTTGTTTCTCGGCACCCTTCTGTTTGCACTAGTTAGCACTGAATTGTGTATGCTCTGAATCATGCAAAGAGAATACACAAACCAACACCAGTTTGCTTTTATTTTTATGTCAGAAGGTATATTATTGGAAACTTCTGTTTGACATTTCTTGTCCTATCAAGCTATTTTTGGCATGCGCTTTAGCGCTGTATCTTTGACCAGACTGTCCCTGTAAGCAAGATGTATCTAAGGATAAGTATTTGCAAGAAAGGGGATCTTTTACCGATAAATCCAAGCTGAGAGAACTCCAGGATCATCCATTCTTCAGAGGGTTGCTGCAGAGCAAAGTTCTTCATTGTACTGAGATAGTTTGGTTTGGCTACAATATCATCTTCTAGCTATAAAACAAACAAAACAAAAACTAAAACAAAGGAGACACCAGTGCCTCAGCACACATACACTACTGAACAGAAACACTAACTTTGAACATGCAGCTAGTGAGGAAGAAGGAAGATGCTCCTGAACAAAGGAAAAGACTTTATTACAGAAAACAAAAGCCACCACTTTCAGCAGCTTCTTGATCTTTTTCGCAAAGTAAAATAATAAATTAGTCAAAGTGAATTACCTGCAGAACATATTATTAATACTGAAATAATCAAACAGAGCAGCTATTTGTCTAGCCACTTTAATTAGTCAAACACTGTAAAATGGATCCTGTTAATTACAAAAGATGACCCACACAACATGGCACTGGCAGCAATATACCAATTCCAGAGTTAGTGCCGATCTTTCAAAACTACAAAGCATCAAAGCTGGTATGCTTGATTTCTCAGTAAACTAACTTACAACAATCTCCAGAAGGTTACTATAATCCTTTCTTTCCTCAGCTAAATCCAGGCAGTTTTCATGTAGCAACAGAAGCAGGAATCCCAAAAGAAGTTTCAGGTCTAACCTCAGAAAGATGGAGTCAAAATTACTGAGCCTTCCTAGAATGGTCCCTTATGATCTCTATCACAATAAAGGAACTAAGAGAATGGTCACAACCAAATGCTGTCTTTCCCACTTTTATATCAAAGGTTTCGATCCTTGTGTTTCATTTAAAAATCCACATACAATATTCCATATTTGGAGTAACCGTAGTATATTAACTTTGGACAATATTAAAACTTACCTGCACATAGTAAATGCCTTTGGATTGTGCATACATCATCAAAAAGCAGTAATCTAGGTTCTGTTTTGTCCTCCACCTATAAAACAAAGAAAAACCACAACTAAACACAAGGCTGAAAGATGCTACATTGCAGGAAGTCAATGGCTGCTTTCTTTGGAGTAATACCACTAATTCCACAGAACATTCAGAATCAAGAATATCCAAATTCTGAAACCCCAAAAGTTACAGTGTAGAGTCATCCACAGTACACAGACCAGGTGTCCTGTTGTTAGCTGTCCAGAGGAACTGTTTGGCCACTAAGGCATTATACAAGCACTTTGCCCTAGGAATGTTCTTTCAGAGAGTCTCTTGCAACTATGTTACGATACATCGGTGAAAATTAATGAAATTGTTGATACGTACCTGTTGAAATAACAGACCAAGAGTCGCTGCTTTTATCCACATTTGGAAGAAGAATAGTATCGAAATGGTAGAACATTCTGGAGATCATCATCAATTTCACCAATTTCAGCTGTCTTTGTGCATTTACATATGCAGATTTTTTTGTACACATTTTTGTATAAGAATTTTGTGATTAATATTTTCTAGCGCAATTACTTCACCGTTTCTTACTTCCTTTTTTCGGTCTGTTCTGTGACTGTGACCATCATTTTTGGCCACTATGTGAGACAGGATGCTAGACTCGATGGACTACTGGTCTGATCCAGCAGGGCTCTTCTTATGTTCTTATGTCCCTAACTTTTTTGAACCTGTGAAAATTTATGGAATTTTCAGAATGGGTAGTAAGTACCTACAACAAAATGTTTGTGGGGGGAGGGAACCAAATCACAAAAAGGCTACAATGGATCCTGTGTTCAAAATGTTGAAAGGTTCCTCAATATGTTAGGAAGATACATGCTAAAGCTTCCTTCTAGAGATAGCTGTTTCCAAATAGATGGTCCCTGCAGACATAAAGATGATGCTTCCTGGGCTCTTCTGAAATACCTCCAGCTCCATTGGAGGAAAGCCTGGGAAGAAATGCTGTGAAGAAGAAGCAAATGGGCTCCAAGAAGAAGAAGAAGAAGAAGAGGAGGAGAAGATTGGATTTATACCCCGCCCTTCACTTGGAGTCTCAGAGCGGCTTACAAACTCCTTTCCCTCCCCCTCCCCACAACAGACACCCTGTGAGGTGGGTGGGGCTGAGAGAACTCTGACACAAACTGCTCTTTTTCAAGGACAGCTGTGCCAGAGCTTGTGACTGACCCAAGGTCACATCAGCAGGTGCAAGTGGAGGAGTGGGGAATCAAACCCGGTTCTCCCAGATTAGAGTCCGCACACTTAACTACTACACCAAACACACTAGCAGCTGCCACGGTACCCATGGGAACCATACTGAGGATCACTGGTATACATGTTCATTATGCCAGCTATTTATTTACTTGTTGGGGGGGGGATTTATTTATTGATTAAATTAGATTTGCTAGGCCACCTTTCCCTATAAGTAGGGCTCAGGGTGGCTTACAACAAAAATATACAAATTCTCAAGTCAAAATCTAAATTAAAACCAACCAATGAACAACAGTAGATAAAAGCAGCATACATATACATTACAAGATGGTGGAAAGGATTTCAACTCCCCAGCCTCCCTGGGGGGGGATGGGTTATGAGGAATGGGAGTGCCAAAAAGTACCCCGTCCGCTGTCCTTAACCAAAGGCCCAGCTGAATATCTCTGCCTTGCATGCCCTGCAGAAAGGTAGTAGCTCCCACAGGGCACGTATGTCTTCCGGCAGAGAGTTCCCCCAGGCGGGGCCAGGGCTGAAAAAGCCTTGGCCCTGGTTGAGGACAGCTGGACTTCTCTCGGGCTGGGGATCACCAGGAGGTTCTTATTCCCTGAGGTAATGCTCTTCCAGGGGCATACTGGGAGAGGCGGTCCCAAAGGTATGTAGTTCCCTGCTAAGGGCCTTTCAAAACCAGAAACTTGAATCAGATCCGGTGCTCCACTGGAAGCCAGTGCAGCTTACACAGCACTGGTTGTATGTGTGTTGTCTGGGGGGTCCCGGTAAGGACCTGCACGGCTGTATTTTGGACCAGTTGGAGCTTCCAGATCAGGTGCAAGGGCAGGCCAACATAGAGCGAATTACAATACTTTCGTCTGGAGGTGACCGTTGCATGGATTACTGTGGCCAGGTCGGAGTGAGACAGGTAGAGAGCCAGCTACCTAACCTGGTGCAGTTGGAAAAATGCCAGTCTGGCAACCTTCGCAACCTGATCTTCCATGGGCAAGGAGGAGTCCAAGGTCATGCCCAGGCTCCTGATGGTCTGTGTCAACCCAACTGAGCCCCCCCCCAAAAAAACCCTGTCATACTTGGATTCAGTTTCAGTCGACTCTGCTTTAACCATCTCACCACAGTCTTCAATCCATTGGCTAAATTCCCAGGAATGGTATCTGGCTGGTCACCCATCAACAGAAATAGCTAGGTCATTGGCAAATTGATGACATCCCAGCCCAAAACTCTGCACTAGCTGGGTGAGGGGGTGCATATAGATATTAAACAACACTGGGGAGAGGAGTGCCCCCTGAGGAACCCCACATTCCAATGGGTACCTTGGGGACATTGGCCTTCCCAGTGCCACCCTCTGTCCCCGACCATGGTGAATTTAAGGCAGTGCCGCTCAACCTGCGTCTCAGAGACAGCCACACTCACAGCAACCAAAAGAGCCATATGAACACTGCATGACCTTTGCACCATCCCACCAAGCACACACACAGAATAATATAAGAAATAACTATTAATATTGTATGTAACTACACCTTTTAAAATTACTGGAATATTTCTGCATAGGCAGGATTGTCTCTCCCTACCACTGCTGGACCTTAGTGAGCTCCTGGGTATCTGGACTGAGGGAAAGGTCTTCCTCCTCTGCTTCCCACTCTCTTCTCAGTATAAGGTGCAGCAGGTTGGGTGGGAGAGTGAGACTGCCAAGGTGCCCACAGGAAGACAAGTAGGCTATGGAGAATGGAAAGTACAGTCCCTCAAAACAAAAAGCTATGTCCACCTTGTTCTTTTTTGGGGGGGATCGCTGTTGTGGAGGTTCTGTTTCTCTCTTCTCTGCAGTCAGTTTGCTGTCTGACTGGCAGTTTCCACAGTGCTATGATGAGAGAACCCAGAGGCTATGGGGGAGGGTGGTAGAGGATGAGCCCTTCCATCCGTGGAATGAGGCCCAAAGCTTAGGGAGGCTTATAGCCTACCCTTACTCCAGTCCCTCCAGCAGCAGCTGTTTCAAGGTAGGAACCACCTGCCAATTACAAGCCCTACTGAGCAATTACCTTGCTCACTTTCCTGGAACACGAGAAGGGTGTCACATTGGGGAAGAGCCACAGGTAGCATGTCTAAGAGCCATATGTGGCCCCTGAGTGAGCATCAATGGTTTAAGGCAGGGGTGTCAAACATGCAGCCTCCATTGGCTGAGGCTCCTTTCCCTCCTCGTCCCCTGGCGGGGAGAGAGGGAAAGAAAGGGTGACAGCTTGCTTTGTCAGGCTCTCTCAATCACACAGCAGAGCTACTGAGCCAAGCCTCTCTTCCCTCTGTTGGCTGAGTTTCCTCCCCATCCTCATCCCCTGGGGAGGAAGAGGAGTGAAGGGAAGGAAAGAGCAAGAGCTTGCTTTGCCCAGTTCCCTCAATCACATGGGAGAGATACAAAGCACCTTTAAGACCAACAATGTTTTATTCAAGGTATGAGTTTTTTCCTGAGAGAGACACACATACACGCACGCACATAGAGTTTTGTTGGGCTCCTTATGCCAGGGCTCTCTTGAGTGCAACTGGGCTCCCCTCCTCTTTTTCACTGTATTCATGCCCTCATGATTCAGTCTTTCTCAGTAGGAAAGCAATGTGAACTATTCAGATGAGGAATAACAACAAGCCAGTGAGGTGGATTAGGCTGAGAGTGTGTGTCTAGACCAAGTTCACCCAGCACATTTCCTTTGTAGACTGGGGATTGTGAACTTTGACTTCCCAGATAGCAGGCTGATACTGCCCACTAGAGAGCCAGTTTGGTGTAATGGTTAGGAGCACGGACTCTAATCTGGGAGAATCAGGTTTGAGTCCTCATTCCTCCACATGCAGCTGCTGGTGTGACCTTGGGTCAGTCTTAAGTTCTTTCAGAGCTGTTCTCTCAAGGGCAGTTCTCAAGAGAGCTCTTTCAGCCCCACCTACCTCACAGGGTGTCTGTTGTCAGGAGGGGAAGAGATTGTAAGTCGCTCTGAGACTCATTTGGGTATTGAAGGGTGGGGTATAAATCCAATCTCTTCGTCTTCACTATACATGGCTATCTCTCTATTCTTGCACTGCCTCAGAGGAGTTGTAGTTATTTCTCTGGGAAGACTATAGTTTTGTAGACAAACACATGGCCCTCAGTCTGTGTCAGGATGCCTTCTCATGTTCTTTACCAGCACATGAAGCAACTTATGTACAAAAGGTTGCAATGCCCAGCCATTTCATGTTTTTCCCTGGGTCCTAGGCTCAGAACACTGAGCATGAGATTTCTGTAATGAATGTCAATAAATCAAAAGTAGGTTTGCAACTTACAGATACACACCTGAACAACACCTGGACAGCATACTCAAGATTGCTACAGCACATTATCTCCAGATTTTGATGCAATAATTCAGAGCAAGAGGTGTCAGATATTGTTAAATAAACAAAATATTGCAAGAGTGCTAATGTTTTAAGCATGTTTTATTTTAAGTTTTTTAAAAATCTTTGTGCTTGTGTCCTTTATAAAATTTATATCACCACTACCTGGCATATCCTTCCCAGCCAATCATCAACCTACCTTTATTTCCCCCTCACTCTTCAGCTTTCCACCCCCCACACACCTGCAGCCTCTCCCGTGCTCTGAAGCCCTGACTGCTACGTCACATTGGCTGTCATACGGGGGCCACCTCAGCAGCATATAAGGATACAGAGCCCACCATTTTCTCCAGGGGAACTGATCTCTGCCATCTGGAGAGCAGTTGTAATTTTGAGTGATCTCCAGCCCTCACCTGGAGATTGGCAACTATGGTTCCCCAGAAGGGGTCTATGGCTTTGTACCTGTCCAAGGTCCCACGCCTCCTGAAACCTCACCCTCTCCAGGCTCCATCCCTCACATCTCCAGGAATTTCCCACCTGGAGTTGGCAATCCTATCTCCTTCCCAGCCAATCATCAACCTACCTTTATTTCCCCCTCACTCTTCAGCTTTCCACCCCCCACACACCTGCAGCCTCTCCCGTGCTCTGAAGCCCTGACTGCTATGTCACATTGGCTGTCATACAGGGGGGTCATCTCAGCAGCATATAAGGATATAGAGCCCACCATTTTCTCCAGGGGAACTGATCTCTGCCATCTGGAAAGCAGTTGTAATTCTGAGTGATCTCCAGCCCTCACCTGGAGATTGGACACATTTTACCTCACAACAGCAAACTGTTTAGAATGTTAGCGGCAAAAGCCAATCAAGTCGCATATGCAAATGACCTCTGTGTTCCGAGGCAAAGGCCAATGAGGCTGCATATGCAAATAACCTCTGTGTTCTGACTGGCTATGGGGTGGAGAAGAACAGCAAACTGTTTAGAATGTTGGAGGCGAGACTCAAGCAATGCAGCCAGTGGATAGGGACAGATTCTGAGTGACACATCAGGGCGCCAACCAATTCCAGAACGTGTGGAATGTTCTAGAGAAGTGCCACCACCATTCGGCTTTTATTTATAAGGGAGATACTGTCTCAATCATTTCAGAAGAAACACCACATAAATACATTAAATAAATGAACATTTCTTCAAACTGTGACTGGCTTCCTCTAGTAGAATACATATATTTTTAAAGAGACAAAGAAACACAGGCTTATTATTTAAACTACAAAAAGCAAAAAATAAGAATTTCTCACATCCTTTTGTTTTCTTCTAAGCAAATTTAAAATTCCCTAAGAAGCAAATGGTATAAAGCACCAGTCATCTCCTCAAGTATTACCTGACTCTCTCCTTGGGGTCACCAAAAGATTCTCGAAGACGTGAAAAGTCTGGATAAAAATGCGGAGAAGGGGAAATGACTTCTAGAAGACCAGAATGTATTTCGTTGGGGAACCTAAGAAAGAGAAAACATAGAGGTAGCCAATCATCATAAAAAGGAAAATGCAATCTAACACAAGTGTTTAATAGTCTAAAAATCATGGTATACCACAGGGCCAGGCTACACTAAAAGCTCTGGACAAAGCCTCCCTAGGAGCAACTGCACTTTAAGATTTTGTTTTACAGAGAAGAACATCAGCAGGGGCATTTGTTGCCATTTTCAAAATGCCTCCCCCCTTCATGTTCTTAAAGCAGATTTGTCAACAGGACCCATACTTCTTTTGAAAGATGCCCCAAGGATGACTTTTTAAAATGTTCTTCTTTGTGGATTACATACCAAATCCTCTGATAACTACAACATAGATCTGAATCTAAGTTTAGCTCCATCGTCTAGTTAATCCTATTAATCACAACCTAACCTTTTAGGGCCAAACTAAATAATATGTGTGATATGAGTAGAAGTCACACATAACACTGAGGAACTAAGATTCCCAAGCACTGCAGTCACTGATTCAGCTTGGGAGCATGGCAAGGGTGGGGGGAGAAATAACTTCAGCCTTCCCCCCCCATTCCATTTTCCTGAGTTGAAATGGCTGCAGGGCCCCGGTTTGCCCCATTGTGGGGGATTCACTGCAGCTGAAGAGGCCCCCAGATTGTTTGGGATCCCCAACCCAACTCATACGGCATTTATAATCTAGTTTGGCCCTCAGCCTCTGTGGCACCCTACCTAAGCAGATGCAACCTAGTGTCCTGGCCCCACTGCTGGACCTCCTGATATCACCTGGTATTTTTGGCCACTGTGTGACAGAGTGTTGGACTGGATGGGCCATTGGCCTGATCCAACATTGGCTTCTCTTATGTTCTTAACATGGAAGCAGAGATTACATCAGGCATTTTGTAGAGTTCATAAACCAAGGGCGGGGGGG